CAGAATATTTAAAGACCCCTCCCCCAAATCAATTGTTAAATAACACTAAAGCAATCCTGTTTGAAATGGGCAAAGCAAAAGACCAAGCATTTAAGGATGAGAACTTGCAAATGGCCACTACTTTCATGACAAGATGCTCAGTCCACTAGCGCTCGGCTGCAGGCACATGAACATGGGGAGGTGCCATTTCTTGAGCTATTGAGGTGGCGTATTTGGTGGTGGTGGTGGTGGGCGAAGAGCTGGGAGTACAATATCCCAACACAGTGGAATGTTGGGGCAGGAGAAGAGATCTGTTGTTAACATCTGTGCCAGATGGGCCTAGAACCACACAAATCTGAGTTCAGATGCTGGTCTCACCTTGTAGGAGCCACGTGGCCTTAACAAATGATCCCATTCGCCCCGGTCAGCGGGAATAATATGAACACCCATTTCATAGGATGTTGTGAAGGTGATGTGAGAGATGTGTGCTGAGCTGTAGCTCAGTAGATGGCATGTCATCAGTGCTTCAGAAAGTAATTTCTGCTCTTTATTATTCATAGGGAAGTAGGGAGCATGTTTGCAGAATGGCAGATGGGGGACTGGGGCATAAATGCCTGAGGAGGGAACACTCACTGGTGGCACTGGTCGACGAGGGGCTCTCAGTTAAACATGGTGGACCGAGCACACCTGTTATCTCCACTCCCTCTTAGATTATCTCTAAAATGGCGGTACAGGGTTTACTCTTCAGTAACTATTGGGTTAACAGTATACCAGCCACTTTTTATGCCTCTGGACCTTGTAGGTAGTATGTTATTCTGGCTTTAATGTGTTTAGCGTCAAGGTGGGTCCCTTTTGACACGTGTGAAGCTCAGCAGACCGGAGTTGGAGCCTCATTGTTGTGTAGGTTGAGTGTTCTATCAGGTGATGCTTCCTGGATGTGTTAGCTTTGTAAACTTTAGTGAACCTTTATTTCTGTGAGATAAGGCTTGCAAGCATAATTACGGCTTTCCTGTGTGGTAGTTAGGGAGCCCTGATGGGTTTGTTTTGGTTTTTCTGTGTCAAAATTTGGAAAGCTAGAGGTTATCCACGTAACCTAATGCAATGGTGCCCACAGTAAATTCACTATTTGGTTCTTGTTGGTATATTGTCATACCGCAGGTCAGTGGCACCAGAGTGGCGTCCTTATAAAGAGAGAGTAGTTTGGAGACACGGACACACAGAGGGAAGAAGGCCATGTGATCATAGTTCTCAAAATCCATATTACCAACCAAAAATTTAAACACACTCAATTAGTAAGCATGCATTCCTACACTGAAAACACATGACATCAAAAAATATATTTTTTAATAAGAATTGGTAACGGAAGGGTTATAAGGCTTTAAACTCATGAGGGCAGAGAGAGCATTTGAGTGTATGACAAGGGAAATCAAGAAAATGCAGGAAATGGAAAGCAGACACGGATGAGAGGGAATAGACTTAGAGCTGAGAACGCGGAACCCAAAGGCCAGCAAAAGGGAAGCCATAACACACCAGCCCTTCCCAGGCAAAACCCTGGGAGGAGGGAGGCTGGACAGCCTTGGACTTCTGAGGTGGGGCTGGAAACAGGAGGGAAAATGGTCAGGACCCTGCCTAGCCCCACCCCAAGGCGAAGCCTACTAGTTGACAAGCCCCTTCCCAGGCACACTGTACTTCCAGTTAGCTTTTCAGTGCTTGTTCTTAAATATAAAAGGAGAGCCAAAAGTTACCTTGTTGTGGGTTGAATTATGGCCCCCAAAAGGATATGTTGAAATCCTAACACCCAGAACCCATGAATGTGACCTTATTTGGATGTAGGGTCTTTACGGATATTATCAAGTTAAGACGAGGTCATACTGGACTAAGATCCACCCTCACTCCCGTGACTGGCGTCTTTATAAAGAGAGAGCAGTTTGGAGACACAGACACACAGAGGGAAGAAGGTCATGTGCAGACAATGGAGTGATGCATCTATGAGCCAAGGAATGCCAAGGGTTGCTGGCAGCCGCCAGAGCCTAGGAGAGGCAGGGAAGGCCCTAGAGCCCACAGAGCGCATGGCCCTAGAAGCTTGATTTCAGCTTCTAGGCTCCAGAACTGTGAGACAATTAATTTCTGTTTTTATAAGCCACCCAAGAGATCAGCAGTCAGCGGTCTAAATGCTCGTGTGGCTATCCACAACCAGTCCTCCTGTTTCCAGCCGCACTCAGAAGTCCAAGGCTGTCTACCCTTCCTCCTCCCAGGATTTTGCCTGAGAAGTGCTGGAATGTTACGGCTCCCCTTTGCTGGCCTTTGGATTCTGCGTTCTCAGCTCAAAGTCTCTTCCCACTCATTCATGTCTGGTTTCCATTTTCCTGCGCTTTCTCGATTTCTCTTGTACCTTGTGATGGAAACCTTAGGAAAACAATACACACCAAAATTTGAAAAGTAAACAATGTCTCCACCATGAATGTGTTCATCAGAGTCTTGGGAGGAAAGGAATGGCAAACTCACACAGGGACTCTGGTAACAGGACAGTGACAAGTGTGGGCAAAGTTGGGGGACACCATTAAGGCAGGGGACTAGCAACAGCAGAGTGCTATGGAAAAATCAGTTAACTATTCTGAGTATCAACTTCTTCATCTTTTAAATGGGCATAATAATACTGGCCTTACAGGTATAGTGAGGAATGACTTCATTTCATTTAGGCAAAATGCTCTTGAAACTGTTCATAGTAATAATAGTAGTGGTTCCAAAAGACACATGCGCGTCAAAACAGCACCTAAATTGTCTAAAGAACCTCGCAGCAACATACAGTATTTTTAACTCATACTTGATTATGCATTTTATTTTGAGATTCCAGGTGTCTAGTATGTATGCCTTGCGATGTAATTTTTACTTACTGTGTTGTCTGTCTTCCCTCAGAATGTATAATAAGATATGGCATCAGACCCAAGAAGCCCTCAATTCTTTGCTTGACAAAGAGTCTCAGAAGATAGACCCCCATAAAAATCAAGTTTTCATCTTCCAAATGTTAGCCACCTTCTACATAAAATACATACAGATCTTTAGAAAGCTGGAGAATGTCTATGACCAGATAGTCCATCCACAAAAGCGAATACTGATCCGGAAAATGCTGGATGGGGTGATGGGTCGCATCCTGGAGCTGAAGAATGAAATGGTCGAGTTGGAATTCACCGAGTTTCACTATTTTGATGACATTTTACAGGACCTAAAGTTGGCTCCTGTAAGTACCCTCTTTTTTTTGACTTATTAGTTTCTTTTTGCTTTAAATAAGATATGTTAGCCTGTAACCAATATACTACATACTTTCTAGACATATTTACTGGTTGTTTGGTAGTAAAAATTGAAACATAGCCCTTCTATTAGACTCTATTGTCTTGGACAAGACAAAGATTGGGTTCCCCTTAGTTCTTGACACCTATGGATCTTTCCACAGTCCTTGGGTCTGTTGGGAGCCCTGGTGGTGCAGTGGTTAAGAGTGATGGCTGCTAACCAGAAAGGTCAGCAGTTCGAATCCACCAGCCACTCCTTGGAAACCCTATAGGGCAGTTCTTCTCCCTATAGGGTCGCTATGAATCAGAATCTACTGTGCGGCAGTGGGTTTTTTTGGTTTGATCTGGGTCTTTTGGGCACTGAGGTTCTGTCTTAATGGACACCGTAGTATCTACCCAGGCCTGATGGAGTAGAGTCTCCTGGGCCTTTCATACATGTCCTGTGGCACAAATCCTCCCAGTCCCCAGTAGTAGGGGCCCGCTATTCTGTTTCCATGGGGAATCTCTCTCTGGCTTTATTTCCCCCACCATCTTCTGGATGAGTAGCCTTTTGGTTGCTGGTTCCTGATCCCCAGCTGGGTGCATCTCTTCCTTTGATTTGGGCCAGTGGTGACTCAGGGGGATGTATGGCCATGGGCCTTCTAGCGTCATACTCCAAAGGGCTTGCTCGGATGCTGTGGAGCTCCCCCTGTTGGCCCCTGGTAGCACAGCACCCTCCTGTGACCATTCTCACCCTCGCTGCCCTCCTGACCCTGTGCCCTTTTGACCCTGCGCTGCAATCTGACCCTCGCTGCCAGACACCCTGGTTCTCGTCTCTCTGTCTGTCTGTCTGTCTGTCTGGGTCTTCCAGGGGCAGCTGGACACTCTGCTTCGGTGTCATAGCTCTGTAGGCCCACCTTTCATTTAAAGGGAACGTTTCTCTAAAATAAACTTAAAAGGAGAAAGTGGTACATTTTGCACACGGGATTTGATGTTTCTTGCCCTTGAAAATAGGTGGGCTTCTACAAAGGTTATGTTTCTTTCTGGGATAGACTCTCCTAGCATTATCGCTGCATTTTAGCAGAGTGAGCCACAGAGAGGGACTGAGATGAAGGGAAATGTCCACGGTCATTCCAGACATGTTTGCTTCGTTCCTTTATGAAAGCATGGATTGAGTCAACAGATATTTAGGTCAGGTGCCCTCAGCCAACCTTTATGAAAATGTCAACAGCAACTTAGGTTAAATATGAAACCAATAGTTGTTAAATCATATTCCTAAATTTAAGGACT